CTGCTCCGGTGCTACGTCCTCCGGCTCAGCGCGGCCGCACGCTGCTCACCCGGGGTGTCCCACCGCACGGTCGGTCTGGCACGCCCTGCGTGGTGGTGGCATCTCTCCGGGGCTGAGTCCCGAGGGTGGAGGTGACCTTGCTGCTGCTGGGACACACAGCATCTGTCCAGGGCTTTGGGGCAGCGTCCGTAATTATCTGACTTTAGCAGAGGAGACCTGGGGAATGCAGGGCTTGGGCTGGCCTCTCTCCGTGCCTCAGTTTCCCCTGTGTATCCATGCTGGCGCTGGTGTTGGGGCTGCGCTGCTCTCCAGCAGTAACAGCAACACATTTTCTATTTTCAGGTGAATATGGCCCTGGCAGGGAAGCCTTTAGATGTGACTCTCAGCACCTCCAGAGCTGACCAGTGGAATATGGTTTTTCCCCAGAAAGACGAAATCATCACCAGCTTAGTGTCTGCCTTAGACTCCATGGTAAGAGGCCAGTGGTGTCCCCGTCCCCCTCCCTCGTTTCGCCTCCCGGTAGCGGGGCTGTCTATTTTCAGGTGAATATGGCCCTGGCAGGGAAGCCTTTAGATGTGACTCTCAGCACCTCCAGAGCTGACCAGTGGAATATGGTTTTTCCCCAGAAAGACGAAATCATCACCAGCTTAGTGTCTGCCTTAGACTCCATGGTAAGAGGCCAGTGGTGTCCCCGTCCCCCTCCCTCGTTTCGCCTCCCGGTAGCGGGGCTGGCTGGGAGCAGGGCTGAAGCAGGAGGGCCGTCGAGCTCGTCCTGCTCCCCTCCGCTGCCGGAAAGCCCAGGGAACTGCCGGAGCTGGGAAATAAAAATCCTCTCCTGCCCTGACAGCCGTAAGGATCATAAAGTCAGCCCAAGTTAATCTCAGATGTGTACTGTTTTTCCATTAATATTTATGTGGGTATCAACTGAATGTAGGGTGGTTGAGTATATTTTTTTTTTCTTGATGTTTTACCAATGTTACCGTGAGCTTTTACACAACAGGAGAACAATGGCTTTTATCTCTGAGAACAAAGAAAATAACTTTCATATCTCTTGACGTAGAATTCCCGGTGGAAACCTTGCCTAAGTCAGCCGTGCTTACATAAACAAGATAACTGTCTGGATTAAGTCTCGTGGACCAGAGCTAATCTTATTTTTAACTGTGAATGTGATCAAGAAGGGAAAGTGGGTGTGTAGTAACAAATGTCTAATGCAATGCGACATGCTTAATAGCCCTCCCTTTTTAAAGCCGAGTCGTATTTAATGTATTTACCTTGGATGTGTCGTCTTCTCTACCCAGGTAGGGTGTTTGGTTCACTAATACTAATTTCCTTCTTTTTAACCATCACCGTCCCACTAAGGAGCAGGTTCCCCAGAGCTGACGCACCCCGAGCAGCTTTGATGATTTATATACGTGCCATCCCATACAGCAAATTGTGTTATCGTAGTTTGGCTTCTTAATGAATATACATTATTCTGCAGTCCTCGTTACGTGCTGACACCAGGGCCAGGAGGCCAGGCTGCTCCTGAAATTCAGCCTTTATCCCAGCGCTTCACCGGGGCCAGGCTCCGCACCCACTGAAGCTGCGTGTGTGAAAAATAAACCACGGGACCACGCACACGTCGCCAAGTGGGCTTAGCGTTTGGATTTGGTCTGCCTCCAAATCTGACGTCCCTTAGATTTTATAGTTATTTTTTGAGTGTTGGGCTTTTTGAGCAAAATATTTCCATTGACTGCTGGGTTTTTGAAAGGAGGTTTCTTAAAAATATCTATTTTGGGGGATGGGATTCAATACCTCCTTCTTGAAGAAGGTGGCAGGAGGTAGAATGACCCTGTGTAGAGACTGCTTTAAGCCCACGTAAATCCACGTGGGGAGCTGAAGGTAGCTCGGGGGGGGGTTGGTCCATGGGCAGCTGCTTTCCTGCTCCCTCCCCAGCTGCCAGCATCCTCCGGCCCCTCCGCAGTGCCGGGGACGGGCGATGTGTCTAACCAGGGCTGCCGATGGGAAAATCTCTTGTTTTACCCATTTCAGTCATGACCTGGGGACAGCATCTTCAGAGCGTCGGTGCTGTAGCTATGGGAATATGACTCAAGCTGCCGGCACTGTGTAACTATTACAATATAAAAAATAGTAATAAAACCCCATATACACGTGTATTATGTAGAGCAGGAAGCGCACGTTACATAAAATGGATTAATGGAGGAAGTCTTCCATCTCTTTAATGTTTTGCACAACTGTATAATAAGAATTGTTCGACTAATCCAGACTTTGACCATATTAGTGTTCTGCAGCTGCAGTAAGATTCCCGTGCTCCTTATTTCATTAGAGCTGGTGGAAAAATCTAAATTGTTGGGGTTTCTTTTTTTTTTACAGGCATGTTTTCTTTTAAAGAAATACTAGAAAATGTTTACTTTTGGGATAGGAAAAAGTGAAGTGAAATGATGGGTAAATAGTTCTTGTTTTCCAGGAAAGCATAGCTCAGCTGGATACCTTTCTGGAGCCGTAAAGTTGCTGAAGTGTTTAGGAGATGTCATAAAACCCATGAAATTCTGACCCAAACCAGAACATTGCTTTTGATGGGGGAAACTTTTGATGGGAAGAAAAAAAAAAAAAATCCCCCTGGAAAATGGCAGGGGGTGCCAAGTGGGGATGCTCCCACGGCCGCTCTGACCCGGTGCCTCCCCGCAGTGCTCGGCGCTCTCCAAGCTGAACGCGGAGGTGGCCTGTATCGCCGTCCACGAGGAGAGCGCCTTCGTGGTGGGCACCGAGAAGGGACGGGTCTTCCTCAGCGCCCGCAAGGAGCTGCAAGCCGACTTCCAGAAGTTTTGCAGTGAGTATCCTCGCCGGCGCGGTCTTCTCCCGTGCCGTGGTTGGTGCTCCGGTTGTGCCGGCTGGGACCCTGCTGTGCACAAAGGGGTTGTGGTTTCGGTGGGGGCACTGCGGTGTGGTCTGTCCGTGGGGCTGCGCTGTGTTTAAAGTGATGGAGAAAGTAGGTTAGGTGGGAACTATGGCTGGGGAGCCTGTTCCCTCCCAGGAAGGGCACCGTGTGCCCCGGCTCTCCTCCGAAAGCACCGCCGGGGTAGCACGGGGCTGAACGGCTGCTCTGCCCCCCCAGTGCCGTCGGGCTACGGCAGCACTGCCGCTGTGCTGGTGCACTGGAGTGGCTGTTGAGGTCTTAGCAGGAATAGTTTGTCCTAGTGATCCCCCAGGAGCAGAGAGGCTTTCTTGGGCCAAGGCTTTTTTCCTGGTTTTGGAAAAACAGGGATGGATTTGGGAGCTGGCAGTGTTGGTTGTGGAGCTGCTTGTTTTTGAGGCGCTAACAGTGGTGGAAAGACGACTTGAGCAAGAGCCGCGATCCCCCCGGTCTCAGGTCAGGGTCACCAGGTATCGCAGGGACGTGTGTACC